CTATATATATATATATATAGCAGTTAAAACAAAAAATTATGAATAAGTTGTGTTCTCATGAGCACTTACTTTCTGCTGATGAAGCCCATGAACCAGGAGGGGAAGAGGCCGTTGTTGACGATGAGAGGCACCTGAGTGTCTATGAACCACTTGGAGACCAGTTCTCTGAGTGTGCCTTTGGTTCCTTCAACGGTAAGCTCCTCCATCAGTTCCCTTTGCTCCATTCTCACCCTGTCCTGTTCAAAACAGCACAGAAGTCCAGTCAACACGACCAGGGCACGGAGCCACTCAGTATTCTAACAGCCTAATTTGCTTATTTTCCAGGAGGCGTCAACCAGCGCCTAAAAGCAGCTCAGTGTCCTCATTGTAGTAAAAGCACAGCTCCTGCTTTGTGTGTGATACAATATACACTTTTTATTAGTGAGAATGATCCTAATTTAAAATTTTAAAGTGTGGAAAGTCTTTACTGAATGAAATGGAGCTCTGCTGCTGCTCTGTGATGTGAACCGTGTTTACACAGAGGGCTGTGGTTAGTAAGTTAAAGCTGTCCGTGGCTGGTTTTAGTCAGATTTGGAGACTCGTCATACCTTGAAGCAAAACTTTACACGAGTCCTGAAGCAGGGGGGGTTAGAACGGGTTGGATCGTTCGCTCTTTGTGAAATGAAGCAGATGTTGTCAGGAATGGCCGTCTGCTGTAGGCACAACATGCAGAACTCCCTCTCAGTCCCTGCAAAACAAACGCAAAGTAACCTGTAACGTAAAGCTCACGATAAGTATTTTAATGTTTTTAGTGAAGCACGTACCCGTCCTTGTGAGCACCACTGTGCGGTTTGAACCCGGTGTCATCGCAGAAAACATTGACATCCTCCTTGACTTGGTCTCTGATCAACTGAAAGCGTTGTGAGTGCGTGAGCGGACCGCGACATAAAGACAGGTGACATTTGCAGTTACACACGCTTTTCCACTGCTCTGGAAAGCGGAGATGCTCTGCAGACTTCAAACAGCTCATTTGCATAACAAAAACAGCTGAGGGCTGATGAGCAAAGTGGGTTTCCTGAAGAGAAACGGAAAGTGAGGCCTACAGGAACAGCGGCTTGTGCGCACTCGCTCACAGTGGTTTGGTAAGTGGAGACGGGGGACAAGTTGCGTCAGCACTTGTTTTTTTTTTCTTCACGTGTCTACAATAAACTCTGATCACTGTTTGGAAGACAGGCCCAGTCAGGTGGAAGAATGGAAATAGTCAATTTGAAAGAGGCTTTAAGGGAGGATGAGAATGTTCCCCCAGGTTTGTTTGTGAGGTTCTCACCAAAAGAGGATAACTCATTCATCCCGTGGGTCAAACTGTATGAATCAGTTAGTGTGGGGTTGGGTAAAGACGGGCAGGAACTTCCTGTGTGGGAAAGACAATAACCAGAAATGGTCTGTGTTGCAGAGAGAGCGTTCAGCTTTTCAGATCTCATCCAGCTGCCCATAGAACATAAACCGAACAGATCCCTGGAAGCAAGTGAGATTTAGTTTAAAGTAAATGAATGAGCTGATAACTGTACCCTTTAAGTTCCATGTACTTCTGACAGTCACACAACCTGAAATTTTCAATATGCCCTTCGCTCTGTACCCGTTCGACGAGCCTTTGTGAGTCATAATGTGCTCCTCTGGGGGAGACATAAGGTTTGAGGTCAACCGTTATCACCTGTTCCATCTCTGTCGAGAGTATTTATGAACACGTTGCCATGAGGAGCAGTGCGTTCCTACGCCGAAGGCTCTTTCAGCTGTTCAGCACCGCTGCTCAGGAGGAGGTGGCAGCTTAAAAGGTCACAAGTCAGTCACGAAATGTCACCCCAGCTGAACCACATCACGTATGCATCCACCGTCCAAACTTTGAGGTGAAACAAGCATCTTCCCAAAGCAACACTATCGTAAAATAAACAACAATAATTAAAGTTATTTTTAATGTTATTGTGCATGTGAACAGATTTTCTTTTGAAGCTCAGTTTTAAATGGGAAATTCAACAAGTGTATTTCCCAGAATGAAACCAGTCATCTACTGGTTACTCACGGTACTGGGGCCCACATGCAGAATGAAAAGAGCCGATGTGTCGTCAGCCGAATGTCAGCCGAATGTCTTCAACGTGTTTTCCTTCGACTTCAGACTGAGCCCAGACCTCTGTAGGAAATGTTGCTGCTGCAGGTAAACCTCCGGTGACTTGACTTCTCCAGTCTTACTTCATGAGTCACACGATAAATAACTACCGGTACGTGCACTCCCACGTCACAGATTTTACGTTTGACACAATTAAACCTAGTTCAGACACTTTGTTCATCCATGTATTTAAAATTCTACATGAAAATGGAGAAAGAGAAAAATGCAGCTCAATGTCTTTTTTTTTATGCTCTTTGTATGTCAGCACAGTTTTTATTTTTATTTTTTTTACATTTTACTAAAGATATATACTGGTAGTACATTTTGTTTTTTGGGTATATTTGATGAGATTATAGCTCTCAGGCAGTAGAGGTGTGGAGTAGTTAAATTGTCTAATTAAGATGTTTGATGACATTCTGTCACATCTTTAATTTTATTTAAATTACCCAGGGCCATAGAGTCACTACTTTTATTTAGCTTAATATCACTGAACATGAAAAATGCAATTTAAACACATGACTTCATGATTTTTTTTTTTCTCATTTTTGTATTTTTAGCTTTTTGCAAACACAGCTTACCTGAATATATAAGACATCAGGTAATAACAATTTGATAACAATTTTTAACTTTACAAATAAAAGGTTTCTTTATTTGTCGTTTGCACCCCATGTGGTACATGTACATTGTGTACATTTGTGTATAAAAGTTAAATAAATAAAAATTATCCCTGTCCAGGTTAGTTTTCTTAATAATATCAACTTATTCGATTTTATAATACATAAGTGCAAATTGGTTAACATTAACTGTACTACTTACATCAACACTAACTTCAAATAGCAATAAATATTATGATGCGTTAATTAATTAATATTCAGTAGTCTGTCAATTTAGATAAAGTGCCCTTTATTTTATATGTTTAGCAATAACCTTTCAAATCTCAATTGTTTTGTTGCATAATAGAAACATTTAATTTTATAACATTAATATGGTTGTAAAATGCTAAAATAATATATTACCCCAGCCTTTGAATAGTAGAGCATGCGTGCCTCAAATATGTCAGTTTCAGTGTCTTCGGTAAAATAATAATGTTTAATTAATGATCAGAATCAGATTTGCTTTTAAATGGCTCTGATTAAGTAATTTTGCTCAGGTGTGTTTAACAGAAATTTACCAGCTAATAACATGGCTTTTAATAATTGTTTGATCATTTCCCTCAGGAATCCTCTTGAGTAAAAAAAAAAAGTCTAATGCAACTCATGTCTTTTTGTGTTTCCACACAAACTTTAGTCGAATTTGTCCACTATAACGACTGCTTGTTTTTTGACACTTTTTCTAATGTGAATAGTTTTTAATACTTCTGCTTTTCAAAATATTGACTGATTCACATCCTACTTGTGTTGACACTAAGTACTTATATAT